AGACACTCCCAGGGGCCCCAGCAGCTGGACCTGGCTGGGGCTGGGGGCGTGTGCTCTCGCTGGTCACCCCTGCTCCCCTTGGCCCCTTGCCGCGTGGCCTGTCCCGATCCCCGCGAGGCTGGCAGCTCCGTGCATTGGGCTCCGCGAGGGTAGAAGAGGACAGCCAGAACTCCGCGTCCAGCTGGACTTCACCCCCACCCGCCCAGGGGCCGCCCCGGCCTGGGGAGGGCAGCGCGCAGCCAGCACCGCCCCAGGCAAGGCCCATACCACACTGCTCGGGAAGGAGTGTGGTGCCAACAAAGGGCGAGGGGGCCCTTTGTCCACCCCCAGCTGGTAGCAAAGGCTTTCAGCTTCTGCACTCAAAGCCCCACAGAAATCCCGAGGGGGGCCCTGGAGGACAGCGCAGAAGTAACCACAACCCACACTTTCTCCCAACACCAGACACGGCTGCCTCAACAGCCATGTGGGTCAGCAGTCCAGAGGAGAAACCACTAGTGACTCAAGTGTTGTCCAAACGCGGGGCTTGGGAGTGGAGGTGGACAGGGACAGGCAGGACAGTGGGCACCAGCGCACAGGGCAGTTTGTCATGGGATCCGTCTAGGGCCCTGGTCTCTAGTGTGGGGGGCAGGGGGAGGCACGACCACAGATGCAGGCAGCACAGTGGAAGGTGGGCGGGGCAGGGCAGTGAGCACCCTAAAAGGACTGAAGGGAGAGGGGCAGGGCTGGGCAGCAGGGGCGGCAGGGCTGAGAAAAGCCCGGCCTTCTTTCTAGAGATGGTGGGATGTCTGGCAGGGGTTCACACAGTTCAAACTTGATGGGGCGCCTGGCTATAGTCACAACAGCAGGGCCAGGTCGGCCGCTGGGACCTCTCCCCTGGACAGTCCCAGACTGGCACTTCTGCACCTGTGGGGACAGCTCGGCAGAGAAGAGAGGAGGTGGTGGACAGGGATGCCTCCTACAGTGAGGGAGCCAATATGTGCTCGTTTCTGGTTTCAACAGCTTGACCTGGACGTGGTGCTCGCAACTGAGGCGTGAGCAAGATGGGAGGGGGCAGATAGGAGGGGCAGCAAGTGGTGGGGTCCCATAGCCACAGGAGGGCTGTGGAGAGACCAAGACAGGGGAGGAGGGTGGTGGCCACTGGTGCAGGAGCAGCAGGACAGACAGGGGGCCCAGGCGACACTAATGAGGCCTGGGGCCTGGCAGAGTGCCGCTCGCTGAACGTGCCCACCGTGGGGCCCAGACCAGGACAGGAGGCAGAGAGCTGGAATCTGTCTTTATTGGCTGCAAGACTTCACACACACAGGCCCAGTGCCAGGCTCAGACCTTGTTGAAAGCAGCAACGTCGACGCTCTGCACCTGTGGAGAGGGAGGCTCGTGTTCATGAAGGCCCACGTGCTCCTGCCACGTGCCTGGCCTGGCCGGAGGTTCACTTGGGGACCCCACCGTGTGTGCCTGCCCACTCACGTGCTCCTGGAACTTGGTGATCTCCTCTTCCAGCAGGTCTGTCCCCACCTTGTCGTCCTCCACCACACATTGGATCTGTAGCTTGTGGATGCCGTAGCCCACCGGCACCAGCTTGGAGCCCCCCCACGTCAGCCCGTCCATCTGGATGGAGCGCACGCAGGCCTCCAGCTGGGCCATGTCTGTCTCGTCATCCCACTGGGGAGGGGGGGGACTGGGGTCAGAGCAGTCTGAGTTTACACCTGCCTTGCCCCCCCGACCTCTCCAGGACCCCCAGGGCACAGGGTGGGGAGGGTCAGAGATGAGCCACTCACAGGCTTGACATCCAGGAGGATGGAGGACTTGGCCACCAGGGCAGGCTTTTTGGCCTTCTTCTCAGCGTACTGCCGCAGCCTCTCCTCCCGCAGCCGGGCCGCCTCCCTGTCCTCCTCCTCGTCGCTGCCAAACAGGTCGATGTCATCATCCTCGTCATCCTCCGTGGCAGTGGCCACCTTCCTGGCAGGGGGCTCCACTTGGCGCATGGGAGACACGTGCTGCCACAGGGGACAGGAGGCTGAGGCCCACGCAGCCAGGAACCCAACTACACACCCTGCCCGTCAGGGTGAGGGCACCAGGGCCCGTGTATCTGAGGGCCTCCTGCTGCTCAGTGCCAGGCATGTGGTCCCTGGGGTGTGGGGAGGGCACTCACCTGCGTCTGTGGGGCCGTGGCTCGGTGGGCTGGTGAGCTCTTCTCCAGTGCGCTCAGCCGGGCCTCCAGCTTTGAGACAGCCTGCTGCAGATCCTGCACCACTGTGGGAGCAAAGTGGGTGCTGGTCAGATGGCAGGGGCAGGGTGGGGCCCCCCACCCATCAGGCCCAGGGCCTCACCCCCTCGCAGGCTCTGGTTCTCCACCTCCAGGCTGGCAATCCGGACGACCAGCTCACTGTGGTCTCCACTGGGCCCACTGGTGGCCCCAGGCCCCGAGCTCTGCAAGGCAGCAGGAGAGGGTGGGCTCAACACCTCAGCCATTCAGAAGCAGAGCCCCAAGCTGGGTAAGAAGTTCGTCAGCCCCACGGGGTCCACCTGCCCCAGGCAAGTGGGGAGAAAGCCCTGCAGATGTGAGATCAGGGACACCCTTGAATGAGTGGACAGCACAGGACAGGAAGCAGGAGGCCCAGGGCAGAGGCAGCCCCAGAACAGAGGCAGTGCGGAACTGAGCCACAGCTGCCGTCGCCCGGTGGGGTAGGAGGAAGCAAAAGACTTAAAGCCCTTGGGTCAGCCTGGCCCAGAGCCTCAGGAGGACTGGGCAGCACAGCCTTGAGCTGGAAACAGGAGGGGATGGCAGTTGAGGGGCCCACTGGGAGCAGGAGGAAGGAGCATGCCAGAGCAGGGGGCAGCCACCTTGCAGCAGCCAGTGCCACACCCTGCCTCCCTCAAAAGCTCCGAGTGACCAGGGACCCTGGCCTGGCCACCAGCCTCCTCTGGTTCCTCCCTGACTGGGAGCCCTGTCATTTGACCCAACAGCGGGGCCCAGGGAGCTCACCCCCCAGGTGTCATGGCTCAAATTACCCCCTGGGGCCTACAAGCAGGCCACTCAGCTCCACCACACTGCAGTGGAATGGCTCCAACGACAGAGCATGGTCACTGGGCCCTTTCCAACAGCCGCTGCCCTTCTCCAGTGTCCAACTACGGTAAAGACCTTGAGCCTGGGGCCCACCCACCAGGCAGCAACAGAGCAAGCCATGTGGCCTCCTCCTCTGATCTGCACACCCCCAGGCCACTGCCAACAGAGGACACACTGAGCACCTGGCTCCCTGCCCAAGGACCTGGGGCAGTACTAGGCCGACACTGTCTCCTGTGACCCACCAGCTCCTACTGCATCGAAGTCTCGTGAGAGCTGGCCAAGTGGCGCCGTGCTGCTGGGGAAGCAGTGCTGACCAGGCCCTAGGACCGGGGTGGGCTCTGCTCACTCCATTCCCCTCCTTTCAGATCAACCGACATGTCCATCCCCAACCTGTCCCCACAACCTCCTACTCTGGTTAGCAAATGCCAACAGCACCCACCTGCCAGTTGACCGCCCTCGCCGCTGCCACAGAGCACCCAGCCTCTCCAGCCTGCTTCCCACAGCACTCAGCTCCCAATACCACTCCCACCAAAAGCCTCCAGCAGCCCCACCGCACAGCGATGAAATCCAGAACCACCTGTTTCCTGCAAGGCCCTGACCACCCTTCCCACTGCTCCACCAGCCTGCACGCTCCGGCCCAGACCCCTCTCAGCAGGCTCACCTGCCAAGCAAATGCACCGGGTCTGGCAGCAGGCTGGAGCCTGCTGCCTGGCATGTCGGCCCAGCCCCGGGACCTCCCAACACAGCCCTGGTGACAACACTGAATGGGAACCGACGGTTGAGGATGCAGGCTCCGGGCAAGGCCCCACTTGCTGCAAGGCCAAGAGGAAGTGGCGGGGCAGAGACCGGACTGGGGGCCACTGGGTCACCGCTGCCCAGCCCACAAGCCCATAGTCCCTGCATGGCGTCTATGCCTGAGGGCCACCCTGCCCAGCCCTACGCAGGGCAGAAAGTCAGGGAGCTCAGTGAGGCGGGCCCAGGCCACCCAGTCCAGTCGCAGACCATGATACAATAGGCAGCCACCTGGCAGCCTCAAGGGCAGACCCACACTAAGGTTCTGAATCCAGGACCCTCCATTCCTGCCTCTAGCCCTCTGCCTGTCACCTCGCAGTTTGCGGGAACCTCCAGAGACGGCAGGTGCTGAGCCCCACCCCACCCAAGTCCAAGCACGGCGCTGGGCCGCAGCATCCCTCCTGGGTTCCTCGGCACCTGAATGATGCTCCCCTGAAGTTCACTTGGGGGCCCCACCACTAGGGCCTCAGGGTGGGGGCTTACTCGGAAACAATAATTAATCACGATAAGTCGTCAAGTGGTCCTAATCCCGTAACTGGTGCCGTCATAAGAAAAAATGTGGACACAGATGTGACAGAGACACAGGAGGAAAACAGCCTTCTACACGCCAAGGAGAGAGGCCTTGGGAGGAACCAACCCCCGCACACCTTCATCTCGGACGCTGAGCCTCCACATCACGAGAAGGTAAGTGTCTGTTCCTCCTGCCACCTGGTCCGCGGGGCTTCACACACACATCAGCCCAAGCAGACCTGCCCCCGGGCCCAAGCAAGCACCCACGTGCTTCCCCCAAAGACCAAGACCCTGCCACTGACCCCAGTGGCCAAGGCCCCAAGGCCCGGTGGGGGAAGAGGTCCGCAGCCCAGGAAGCTCCAGGGCCACAGCCCCCAGAGTTGCTGAGCCCCCAGCACTGGCCTCCTGGGCACAGGAGCCTGATGCACCTGGCCTGAGTGCAAAGACCTTGTGCCACCTTGATCCCTCGTCTGCCTGGCCTGAACTGTGTTGAGCAAGCAGAGGGTGGCAGGTGGGACTTGGGGCTGCTGGACGGAAGACAAGGCAGGAGGCAAGCACAGAGCACGGTCTGCTGGGCAGACCGTGGTGGCACCACTTCCTGGGGGACACTCACCCAGGTCTGCCCAACCTACAGCCAGGACCTCCTGAACCAGCTGTGGCCAGCAGAAGGTTCTAAAACCTGGTCCCATACCAATCCCCGAACCCTGTAAAAAGGTGACCTCGTGGCAAAAGGGACTTTGCAGATGTGATGAAGCTGAGGCTCTGGGCGTAGGGAGATCACCCGGTGTCCACCGGGGAGACCAGGGTCATCACAAAGGTCCACATAAGAGCCAGAAATGTGACAGAAACTGACGTCAGAAGCCATGGGCCAAGGAATGGGGGCAACTTCTCAGAGCTGGAAAAGGCAAGGAGGTGGACTGGTGGACTCTCCGAGAGCCTGCAGACAGAGTACAGCTCTGCTGACACTTCGCCCTGGAGGCCACGGTGCCACCCTGTGTCCCAGGGGAGAACGAGGTCCTGATTCCTCTGGCAAGAAGGTGGAGCAGGCCTGTCACCTCCTAGGGACACACTCCCCAGCCCGTCTGGGGGCAGAGCCAGACACGATCCTGTCTTCCTTTCCTGATCTCACGTGGGACCTGGAGGCTGAGCTGGGCCCGAGGGCCCCGATCTGGGCCTCAGATTCAAGATAGTGCCAACTCCGTGAACAGAACTCAACTTGCCCCGTGAGCCCATCTCTCTGGGGAGGGATGAACCATGGCATGTGCCACCCTCTCCTGCGTTCCTGAGCCGGGAGAGCAAGCCCGAAGCAAGAGGTCTCCGGGCCTGTGCCTTGGGGTGCACCCTGCAGGATGAGGGGGCCCACACTGGCCCCACAGGAGTGGCCAAGGCAAGGTGGGGCATCCCAGGTGACTGCCAGCCAGCTCAGCAAGGACACAAGAGGAAGAACATCTTCTCTGGCGGTGTGGAAACACAGCCCTGCACACCCTACGCTAACTGCTCCAAGAGGCCAAAGTAGTCAGCAGTGCGGGGGAGGAGCAGGGACGCGGGGAGGGGGGGCGGCGGCCTGCGGTACGCACCCCGGCGAGGGACTTCTGGATGTTTTCTCTGGCTCTCGCAATGTCACGGAGGATCACACTGGCGCCGTTCTCCTGCAGACAGTGCAGAAAAACACCAGTCTCTTTTTTCTCTTTTTTAAATTTAAAAAAGAACCACTCATGTGAGGAGAGCAGCGAAGTGCTGCACAGGATGCGCTCAAGGGGCCGGAGGACAGACAAGAACAGAGTCCTGGGCCGCAAAGACAGGGCCCGAGGCGCGCGCTCTGCAGGCCCGGCCAGGCCGGGTCCTGTGGGCCCCTGGGAGCGCCCTGCGCCAAAACGAGGGCAGCTCCAGCTCCCCAGGAGCCAGCCAGGCCGCCCTCCTCCGGCCCGCTGGCAGTGGCTGTGCAGAGTCCCTACCTGGCGGGAGGAGCCGGCCACGGGCCCGTTCATCTGCTCGTAGAACCTCCTTTCTGCATCGTCGTACTTGAACTTGTCGAACCAGATCTTCTCGTGCACAAGGAAGTTGTGGCCATTTTCCTGTCGGGAAGGGGAGGAGAGACTAAGACAGCCTGGCTGGGAAAGGGTGCTTCCTTGCAGGCCCCAGGGCGGGCCTGCACAAGCACCCTTCTGACAGCCCAGACCTCAAGGGTGCCAGGCAGGCCGTCCCATCCTTGGGTGACGAGGGCTCCAGGCCCCGAGCAGAGCACCAGCGGTTCCTGGCACAGACCACAGTGAGCCCATAAGCCCCTACCCCTGCCCCCCGCCGTGGACTTCCTTCCGTTCTAAGGCCCATGGTCCCCGGGCCTATCCCCAAGGCCAGCAGCTCTCAAACTACAGCCACGAACCTCCAGGGGTTCCCAAGGTCCTCCCTTTTCCAATCACACATTTGTTCAAGGCTGAATTTGTTGATGAGACAACGTACACCAGCAGACTGAATGCACAAGCAGGTGCAGGGATCCAGCTGCCTTCTATTAAGCCAGACACAAGAAATTTGCAAAAATGTAAAACAAGGCCCCCTATTTCCTAAATCTTTTTGTTACAAGGAAACCATTTCTGCAGAAATATGTTAACAAATAACGACCTTATTATTTTCCAACAAACAACCTCCTGTGTTTTATCACCAACGTGGTAGAAGTCCATGGTAGAAAGCCCTGGCATCCTGAGACCAGCGAGTCTGAGAACAGCTGGCGAACTCTGGCCCGAGAGGCGGGCGCAGCCACCATCCGTTTTGGCAAACTGGAGCACTGGCACGTCGCAGCAAGACAGGGGAGCTGCCCCAGACCCGAGCACGGGGTCCACCCTCTTCTCCCTCTGGCCCTCCACGACAACCCTGATGCCACAGGACTGTCCTGTCCCTCACTGAGCGTGACAGAAAGGGACCCAATCCCACCAGCTCTCTGTGCCGAGGACCCCAGGCCATCACCGGACCTCGCCAAGTGCCCCTTGGTGACAAGAGGAGAGTCGGGCCCCAGAGCTCCCCTCTGTGCCCCGCCCCCGTGAGGCGCCACCATGAATCCAGCTTTAGTTCCATGGTCTGCCCCCATACTCCCAACAGGGAACACCCCAACCCCCATGTCCTGGCCCCTCACACAGGGCCTGGATCCTCCCAAAGCAGCACATCCACCCCCACTGAGCAGCAAAGCGGCTTCTGCTGGGACTCAGGCCCAGGGAGGCCTAACTCCCTGCTGACCCCGCCTGCACTGCAGCCCCTCCCCCCACTGCTGCGCCTCCAATCCAGGCCTCCCCCGAGCCCCGCTGGCCAAGGGGCCCCTTCCACGGCCAGACGCTGGCCTTGCCCACCCCTCCCCCCTCCTCCAAGACCCCTGAGCACACAGGCTGAAGGCCAGTTGGCCTCGTCAGTGGTGTCCTCCAGACTCATGTGCTGCTGCACCCGAGATGCCCACCTCCCCTCAGAGGTGGTCACAGGGTAGACAGAATTCCCAGGCAGGCCCCAGTGGGGCTCGGGCAAGGCTTCACTGCTCCCTCTGCCAGGCCCATAGTTGCCAGGCCAAAGGGGAAACCCTGCCCAGGACAAACTCAGCCCTTCCCTCCAAAACTCGGTGGGGGTGACCAGAACTCAGCGACCCCCAAGGGTGATCCTGGAGACCGCAATGCCCCAGGAGGAGAGAGCTACCCTGCCCAACCCGCCCCAGCATCCAACTCAGTGGGGTCCAGCAATCAGGAAGAGGCCCGCCGGGGTGGAGGTAGGAAGGGGACCATGCTGGCCCCAGCCCAGAAGCCTAGGCATCCACCCAACACGTTTCTCCTACTTGGATCTCAGGCTGGACACGGAAGGGCCAGACCGGGCGCTGGGCTGGCGGGCCAGGGATGCGGCTTCAAGGCGCCAGGCCGTGCGCAGGGCCTCGGCAGCATGGTGGCGGCACTCGGCACTGCGTA